AGTACAGTACAGTACAGTACAGTACAGTACAGTACAGTACAGTACAGTACAGTACAGTACAGTACAGTACAGTACAGTACAGTACAGTACAGTACAGTACAGTACAGTACAGTACAGTACAGTACAGTATAGTATAGTATTGTATAGTATAGTATAACAATACTATAATTATTGATAAACAATACTGTAATTATTGATAAATCTATGAACTGGTCGCTTCTACTATATAAAGAAGTTTTACATATCCACAGACAGCATCCTGAATTAAACCATGCGACTAAAGCGTCAAAAGAACTTGTTATCTTTAATTAGAACTTGTTGACAGATTAGATCATCTTATAACACACCTGTACTTATAACTTGTAAAATTTTAGTAGCTTTCATAATTCCTGATGATGACTTAACAGTAGTCGAAACGTTGAATTAAAAATATGAATTTCTTCGGAGTTTCAATTGTTTTGTATTTTATAGTATAGTATAGTATGGTATGGCATAGTATGGCATGGCATGGCATGGTTTATTGTATATAAACGATATGCCTAAATCTTTGAAATATGTTACTCCATCTATAGTATGGGGATGATACAGAAATTTATGCATCCTCCAAACATGGCGACGAGCTCGTAGCAAACTTAAACTGTGACCTTGATAATATTCATAAATGGATGTTACAAAATAAGCTCCAAATTCATCCAACTAAGACCAAATATATGTACATTGGATCCCCTTATAATATTAAAAATAAAATCTCAAGTGACCACATATTAATTACAAATATACCAGTGCCTAGAACTGAAACCTATACATGCCTGGGCGTTAAACTGGACGAAAAGCTTACATGGGAAAAACATATTGACGAGATCTGTGCCAAGGTAGGGGCTGGAATTGGGGTTATGAGAAGGATGAAGCCCTTCCTTCCTCTAGAAACACTAAAACTAACTTACAATGCCCTTGTGCAACCGTATTTTAATTACTGCAGTCCCCCTTTGGGACAACTGTGGAATTGGTCTCAAGGATAAGCTTCAAAAATTCCAAAATCGCGCTGCGAGAGTGATAACTGGGTCCACCTACGATACTCGATCAGTTGATGTGCTTAATACGCAAGGTTGGGAAACTCTGGATCAAAAACGTAACTACACAAAATCGATTATTATGTATAAGATAATTAATGGTCATGCCGCCCCCAATCTAAAACAATCCTTCCGATTGCACCGTGAAGATGATACCTTGCATGACCTTAGAAATCGTGCTACCGACTTGGCACTTCCAAAACCTAAAAGAGGTTTCGGTAAAAGGAGTTTTAAATACAATGGAGCTATCCATTGGAACAATTTATCTATTGAAGCAAAAAATGCAAATTCCTTTAACACATTTAAAAGGATTTTAAACTCGCAACGAGTTGAAGCTGACTCACCTTGATAAATGATTATTTTAAAATAGTTTAGTTTCAATGTATTTTTCTGTATTTGATAATTCTTCTGAGTAGTCCTTGACCGTATTAATCTGTAATCCTTCTTAGTAATTTGTGACTGTATTTTATTTTGTACTTGTAAGTAATATCTTTAATGTCTATCATAATTTGTAAATAGCTTTATGTATTTTGCAATACACGCCCCTCATGAAAACCAGCTAACGCTGATGAGGCTAGCGTGACTAAATAAATCATTATGTATGTATGTATGATGTATAAGCAAAATTTGCGACTTACCACTTATAAAGTTTTGCAGTTTCATGCAAACGCTTCAATATCTCGTCTTTAATGATCTCGTTCGCCCTCATGTTTTCTTCATATTGTCCCGTCCACTCCTCATCAGCGACAGGATCATCAACCCAAGCATATGCATGATAAGGCATCATCATCGCTTGAAACCAGATATATCGGCTTCTAAGCCTTCTATCCCTGACACTCGAAGAAGCCTCGGAAGATGCATCCGTCGAAGACATTGCAAAAAGATATAAAAAACCGCGAATTATTCTTCGAAATTAAAGCTTCTTTGTAATGGTTACCTGCGTAGCAGGCGTTTAGTGCGGGCGGGAGAAGAAAGGGCGTCGTTAAATAAACGCCTGCCCAAATGCCTATGACAAATTTGTTCTTCTCCAAAGAATTTTCGGAAAAGCTTCCCATTGGTTAATCTCGTTAACGGAAGTAATTACGTAACTCAAATGTCAACAACAATTCTGCTCGCGTATCGAATAGCGATAGCCGTATATTTCGCAAAAAATATGCCTGTTAATGCTTTGGAGGAAACTCTTTCTTATATTTCAAGTATTTAGGCTTCGAAATTCGGTTGAAACCAGAACCGAGAAAGTCTATTATTAATTTGCTACGTGGTGAAGACGCCGGTTATCGCGATTCTTCCTACGGGATACGGAGAAGTTTGAGTTTCAACTATACATTTATTGTGGGGAATCTCCCAGAAACACTGAATGATTCGCTTTCTTCAATACACATTTACACTTTAATAAACACAACTTTACAAACATAAATAAAATGGTTTTCTTCGCCTCAATATAAACCTGTATTGTCAGTCCAACGTGTCCATATTTCCGATTAATTCCCAAAATAATTAACATAAATTATAATGTTTAATATCAACACCAGTCCCAGTTCTTACACCCTCCCCCCATTAAAGCGATGACTAGCCGCTTTAATGTTGTTCAATTCGTTTGTTTAATCCTCTTCCTGTTCGTTCAGTGTGACTCCCACCATTTTGTCGATCGCCGCTGTCTTTGCTTTCCTTGAAGGTCTTTCTCTAGTATCTGCATCACCTGAATTGTCGACTTTATCTTTTATGACAGGCTCATCCGTAGACCCGCTTATCTTCAGATCACACACCAACTGAAGCGGCCTTTCGATGATGTAGCCAGTCCCGGTTTTGATTTTGTATCCTCTTAAGACTCCGTCGCGTCCGCGAATAACTTCAACAACACGCCCGATACACCATTTGGACTTGATCTTGCTGTTATCTGTGAAGAGAACGATCGAACCTTTCTTAGGCAAACCCTTTTCATCAGTGAACACCTTGCGATGCCTTTCTTCCAGCGCGTGAACATACTCGGTCAGCCAACGTTTCTTGAGGTGCTCTCGACACACCGTAAGATACTTCATTCGTTTCGTCGCTGCAGTCTTGTTGTTCATTGCTTCAACATCTTCATCCAAGTAATTTGCTGGTTGACCTCTGAGCAGGAGATTAGGCGTAATGACAGGTTTCTCAAACTCTTCTCCTTGATAGCAAAGGGGACGGTTGTTCATGAAGCACTCGACGTCCAACAAAACCTCTTCAAGCTCTGGAAACGTAAGTAATGCCCGACCGATTACTTTTGACAAACTGGACTTCATGACACCAACTAGCCTCTCAAAGAAGCACCCCACCAAGGGGCTCTAGACAAATTGAATTGCCAAATAATCCGTTGCGCCGTTAGGTAGTTGAACAAATCCGTGTCCTTTGTAAGCAATTCGAGCCACTGCTTCGTCGCTTTGAAGGTTTGGGCATTGTCGCTTACAATCTTGTCTGGTCTCCCTCGTCTGGCAACGAACTCTTTCAATCTTCTCTTAAACTCGTTTGCCTCCTTGCTTTTACTCAGCTTCAGGTGAACTGCTCTTGTAGTGGCACACGTGTAGAGTGCTACGTACGCCTTTCGTGTAGATTTCTTATTTGCTCGATAAAGCAGTGGACCAGCGAAGTCCACTCCTGTCACAGCAAACGGCTCTGTCATTTCAGTTCTGAAGGTCGGCAATGGTGCGGTCGTTGGTGGATTCAGTCCCTTCGGTCGAGCTTTCTTGCACGTATTACAACCATTGACGACACTCTTCGCCAATTTCCGCAGCCTTGGTATCCAGAACCTCTCTCGTGTTGTGGCAATGGTTGAGCTTACTCCCCCGTGACCTGTTCCTCGTGAATATCGCGCACTAGCAGTCGGTCTAAGGTGTAATTTCTAGGGATAAATATCGGATTGTATCCAATAACTCGTCCGTCCATTCTCAAAAGTCCGTTTTCATCTGTGCGGAGAGTAAAGCCTCCGTCGTCTTTCAACGTTTCCTGACCAATCTTCAACCATATATGTTCAGCTCTTTCGACTTCCTCGGTGGTTAATGGACCATGTAATTTCTCGTTTCTCGCATTTCTAACGAACCACAGAATGTATGCTGTCACTCGTAGAAGTCTGCGGTAAGTAAACTTTGCCAACATGTTGTTGATCATCTCCAAATCACGTTCGACCCCCTGTTTAGCCAGTGTCCGCTTCATGGCCAACTCCTGTGTGACATCAGTTGTCTCATTGATCTCCAGTTGTTCTGGCCACTGGTCATGCTTTTGCAGCCAATCCGGTCCCTTGTACCATAGATCCCCGAGCTTGTCTGGCGCTGCTCCCCTTGTGCTCAGATCGCTTGGGTTGCTGTTAGTCGGAACATAACGCCAATCTGCATCTCCAAGCTCCTTTATCTTCTTGACCCGATTTCTCACGAAAGCTGACCAGGTACCCTTGTTTGCGAGCCAATAGAGAACCGTCAGGCTATCCACCCAATGGTGTACGGATCGAATAGGTTGTACTTCCAACGCTCTAAGCACATTACTCTGCAGCTTCGCCAGGGTCATAGCAGCGATTAACTCCAATCTGGGGATACTTGTATCCTTGGCGCGACTCTCGATTTTGCCACAAGCAGCGATTGATTGACAGGCATCGACTCCCGATACTACACCGTGTAAATTGCAGCACATACAGCTTTCTTGCTCGCATCTGAGAATCCATGGATCTCAAATTCGCTACCACCTTGTGACCTATGCTTCGAGGGACAGTGATGAAACTTTGTCGTAGCAATCCATTGATCCAGCACCACCATGATTGTACAATGTCCGGGGGTAGGATTTCATCCCAATGCAACTTCAGCAAACAAACATTACTAAACATCACCCTCATGATTATCAACACTGGGGATGACCATCCAAGGACATCAAAGACACTGTTGATTGCTGCCACCATCTTTCGTTTGGTTATAGGAGACTTAATGTTAAGACAAGGTTTGAATGACACTGCCATACAGTCGTTTGACTTGTCCCATGGTATTCCCAAAATCTTTGTTTCGTTTGTTTTAGGATTTCCGACTAGAGTTTTGGCTTAGGTTCGTTCCTCCTCCTTCTCATTACTGTCCGTGTCAACTAATAGTACGTTGCTGTGCCACTTGTGCAGTTGGAACCCAGCACCTGCCAAAATCGTTGTAGCTTCTTCTCTAAATTGTACCACATCCTTGGAATCACCACCACCTTGTATATCATCAACATAGGTATCATCTCTCAGCATTTGAACAGTCTCTGGATAGATGCTTTGATACCCTTCCAAATGCTTTTGTAAGGTCGCACCAAGAATATATGGACTCGGTGTTGCTCCAAAGATAACGCGTATGAATCTGTACTCAAGTATGTTCCGATTACACAAATCGTCATACCAGAGAATCCGTTGGGCGTCACGATCACATTCTTGAACAATAATTTGAAGAAATGCTTTTACCATATCTCCTGTGATGCAATATCTTCGAAAACGGTTGCGGAGAAGGATATCGAATAGAAGAGGCTGCTAAGAAGGTCCGGTTTCCAAGCAGTCATTCAAGGATGGGGTGGTGGCATCCGGTTTTGACAAACAATCACAAATAATGCGCATTTTCGTCGATTGTGCTTGCTCTCTAATAACCGGTTGATGCGGAACATAGTGCACAATCTCCCCTGTTGGTTGTACTGGAACTGGCTCAATCACACCTTTTCCAAAGTGATCTTGCATAACGTCATCATATTCTTTCAATTTTCCAATCCTTTTGAGCTTCCGTGTAACACTGTACAGTCTAGCTGTTGACTGATTCTTGTTCTCTGGCAACGGTACGTGTCCAACCTTCCACGGTAATCTTGTTTCATAAAATCCATCTTGGTTTTGTATAAGCTGTTTCTTGAATTCCTCATGTTCAATGATGACATGTCCACAGGGTCAGTCACACCAAGAACATCACCACTGCATAACCGCTCAAACTCCTCTTGCCCAGTATTAAGAAGGAACTGCTTGTCTGACTGGTCACTTGTTCGAACACTTCCATACAGTGTCCAACACAACATTGTAAATTCTGCTCCTGGATCCTTCTCTGGTTGGTTACCCAATATTGGTGACTCACTAGACTTGATGCGTTGGAAATCAGCAACTCCCAGCATGATATGAACAGGTAGGGTGTCTCCAGTTGACTTCTCTTCACTAATGTTTAGTCGACGCAGGCGTGGTTGCTTCCTCTTCACTTGCTCAACGTTTGGATTTGGTAAATGGGTCAGGATAGATTTCTCTGCGTTGATGCACTCCAGATCAACTTTGAATTCGTTCCCGATTGTCGATTTAACAGTTACGTTGTAAACCTCAACGACTTTGGTCATTGATCCATACATCTGTTCAATGCAACGTCTCTCCTTCCTGGCTGGCTGTAATCCTAACTCGGTAATAACATCAGTACAGATATACGAACTGCTGGCTCCTGTATCAATCATGAGACGCACTTGTTTGCCTGGTATGGTGCTTCTGCCCACACTTGTGGCACCCTTGCGCACGGCATGTTGATGCAGGATGTCCTGGTAATGCACAGTTGAAGCAAGCTTTCTTTTGCCTCATTATGCCCCGACGATCAGCCACACTCAAAACCTTTGTACACTTTACAGCAGAATGCTCAGAGAAATCAAAATAAATACATTTCGGTCGTCTGTATCCACTTCCCCCATTACCAAACAAGAGTTTATCACCTTGACTTCTTTCTCCTCCACACGCAATGGGTGTCGATCAACATATTTCTTCAAGTTATCTACAAGTTGCTTAAGATCCCATTCTTCCCAATCGTCATCCTTTTGTACTAAGACTTCTCGAACTGGTCCTAGCTTGTCCATAAGAGTTTAAACGGTTGATTGTGCTGATGCCAATTTATCCATAGTGGTTAGTGTTCTCACAATTCTAGAAAATTTGTTATAGAAGTCGTGAATGGACTCCAGCTTGTGGATGCTTGTAATGGTATGGAGGCTTTCTAGATCTTTTATCAACGCTCTGTGAACCTTGCTGTCCTTTCCACAATTCTCTTGCAGTGTGCGCTTTGCTTCTTTGTGACCTTCAATCGAATGTGGCAAACCCACAATGTCATCTCTAGGTTTGTCCTTCACTAATTCCAATAGGTAGTGAACCTTGCTGATCTCTGACAAGGTCGACCCATCGACCTCCACACTGAATTGGTTCCAGAAACGGAGCCAATCCTTATAATCTCCAGAAAATGGTGTGATAGTGTACCTTTGTAACTTCACAGTTTGTTGTGACTTCTTGGATGAAGCACCCACAGTGTTAATTTCCCCACTTAACTTTGGTAATTCCATTTTTTTTTTAACCATTCTTCCTCCGTTTGTTGTTGCCGTATCATGGCCTCCTCCACTTCCTTTTGTTACTGTTCTCGAAACTTGGCTTGTTCATCATTCACTCTTCTTTGATCTTCAATGTCCCTTTTCAACTTTTCCTCTCGTCCCTTGTTTTTCAGTTCATCCAACTGTTGCTTACAATGATCTCTCTGTTTGCGGAATTGCGCAATGCAGTCCTTTTGTGTCGCTGACCATTCTTTGACATACTCTAAGTCTTTATCATTGTCAACTAAAGTTTGAAGGGCTCCATCCTTTGATAATTCCAACCGCTTTATTGACTCACTAATCTTTTCATAAGCTAATACCACATCATCCTCACTATTAGTTTCAGCAAGTTCTTGTGCTTCTGCCAGTTTAATTTTTTCTAAAGTCACACATTTCTCGTGTTTTGCTTCGCAATCCATGGTTTTACCTGTGGAAACCACCCAAGTTTGTCCTTGGTTAATTTATTGTTTTGTTTTTGAATACCGTCTAGCGCAATTTAAATAATTTCTGTAACCATCTAGCGCACCTGAATTTAATCCCGTAACCGTCTAGCACAATTTTTATAATTTCTGTTACCATCTAGCGCACTCGAATTTAATCCCGTAACCGTGTTTATTTTATACCGTAAATAATTTGGTTTCTCTTTGCTATTATCCCAGTAAATATAAAGTAATTCCTCCCAATGTTCCGAAATAACGTTGAAAATTAACCCCTACGCTTTTAAATCACCAACCTGTTAGATTTTGTTGTATTATCGAACGTATTTGCTTGTGTTTATCGCCGTCACGCCGTATCCCATATCAGTTCTCGATGTAAATTTCTTTAATGTCGTAACCTGAGTATCAGGCTCTATTTTACAAATAGAGCCTGACACAAAACTTAACCTGATCGCTTTCCGCCCACAGCAAAGTTTGTATTTAGTATCCAATCAAAATGTCGCAGGAGAAATTTAAATTTCACACAACGACAACAACAATCTAATTATAGCATAGGCGCCCACTAAACGGCTGAATTTAAATTAAAACTGCAATAAACTTATAAAATTAACAAAAATAATCACAAATTAGCGAAATATATTGCAAATGTAGCTTATATTAAATCGCCACCCGATTGCTCTCTCCTCCGCAGAGGTTTCAGTGACTACAATGAGCTTTACATGGCGCTTGACGTATTTATTAACAAACAGTGACGTATAATTATAAAGTATATATATATATATTAAGTATACTTTATAACTATACGTCAGTCGATAGTGCAATCTGATGGCGATTTAATATAAGCTACATTTGCAATATATTTCGCTAATTTGCGATTATTTTCTAATTTTACTGCAGTTTTAATTTAAATTCAGCCGTTTAGTGG